ACTTTGCAAAAACTAAATACCTTTTATACTGTACCTTGAAGGAACATCAGTGATCATCTTGGAAAATGAATAAGGTTACCCTTCTTTTTGACCACACCAATTCCCCACAACTTAGGTGCCAGATCTCTTGAGACCTTTCCTGAATACAATTGTTATTCCCCAATCACTTCACATATATTTTGCATCTAGTGTGTATTTATTAATTTATGAATATATGCTATGCCCCTAGTAGAATGTAAGTCCTTTGAGGGTAGGAAGACCTCACTTTTGTATTTGTTTTCCCAGCACTTCATAAGTGCTGTCGATTGAATGATTTAATCCAATATGGTCTTTTTTTTATTTTGCTCTTAGTCTAGGTCCATGATTTTATTAGTATAGGGAATTCCTCGTGAAGAAATTCCCACTATCAATGCAAAATTGGCAATGGTTTTACAACTGCCATTCTTTTTTTTTTTTTTGGTTAGGCAATGGGGTTAAGTGACTTGCCCAGGGTCACACAGCTACTAAGTGTTATATGTCTGAGGTCAAATTTGAACTCAGGTCCTCCTGAATCCAGGGCTGGTGCTCTATCTACTACACCACTACAACCGTCATTCTTACAGAATGACTTGGGAAACAGAGTACTTACTCAGGTTTATACAGCCAGCATGTGTCTGAGGTGACTTTAACCTACTTCTTACTGACACAATATAACCTACTTTATTCACTAGGCCATAGTGCATCACAGTCCATTTTACAAATGAGGAAAATGAAGCCCACTTGCTCAAGGACACATTAAGATTTGCAGTTTTACTGGCAAGTACTCATTTTAAATTATTTAGTTTTCATGTTGCTATAATCCTTCAATAAACTGATTTCACATGGGAAGCTTATTTCTGTCCATAAAGGAGCCGTTCCATAGAAGCCTGCTAGTATTTGTGGGGCCATACAGAAAACTGGGGTTTTCTATCAATGTAAGAGAGAATTTTAGTGCCAGGCTGGTTCTTCCTGTCCCTGTTTTTTTCACCCTTGTGCAGAGTTTGATGTAAAAACCAGTTAAGTCAGATCATGCCAAGAGCACTTAAAGGTGAAACTGAAAGGACAATAAACAGATAAGAGGAGTGGGGAGTGGCAAATCTATCTAAATCTGTCTGTGTGTGCATGCATTTGGGTATGTACACACAACACACACGTTATCCCATATACTTTTTTTTTCTGGATCAGTGGTCCATGTATAGCCAGACCAGACTTATGATTGTTATTTTAAATAGTATTTCATTTTTTTCAATTACACATAAAGATAATTTTTAATATTTTTTTTAATTTTTGAGTTCCAGATTTTCTCCCTCCCTCCTTCTCCTGCTCCTTCCCTAAAAACGTAAGAATTTAAATAGGTTATATATGTGCAATCACATAAAACATTTCCATATTGGTCATATTGTAAAAGAAGAAACAGACCGAAAGGGGGGGAAAAAAATCACAAGAATGTTAAAGAAGTAAAAATAGTATGCTCCAATCTGTATTCAGACTTATCAGCTCTTTCTCTAGATGTGGTTAGCATATTCCACCATGAGTCCTTTGGAATTGTCTTGAATCACTGTATTACTGGAAGAGCTAAATTATTCACAGTTGATCATCACACAGTGCTGCTGTTGGTGTATACAAGGGTCTCCTGGTTTTGCTCTCTTCACTTTGTATCAGTTCATGTAAATCTTTCCAGGTTTTTCTGAAATCCACCTGCTCATCATTTCTTGTACCACAACTGTATTCCATTACATTCATATACTACAACTTGTTCAGCCACTCCCTCAGTTGATGGGCATCCCTTCAATTTCCAATTCTTAGCTACCCCAAAAAGGGCTGCTATAAATATTTTTATAAAGAGGTTATTTTCCTTTTAAAAAAAATTCTTTGGGATACAGACATAGCAGTGGTATTGCTGGATCAAAGGGTATGCAGTTTTAAAGCCTTTTGCACATAAAAACTTTACAAATGCATAACACTGTAAAACTAATTTTTCTATCAATGAAGATAGTCACCACATTTTAACATCAAGCCCCTCAATGTGCTACAAAAGGAGTGGAAATAATGCTTGTTTAAAAAGACAGGAAAGGCATCTACATCATAGAGCAGGTGTTTGTATACACAGAAAACATCTGTGCTAGATATGAGAAAATTTGGACTATAACTACACCAGTGTTCAAGATATCTAAAAAAATTAAAGATATAAAGTGGCTGAGGAAAAAAACATGACATATTACTAACAACAAAAAGGCAGTCAAGAATGAATAAATGAATGAAAAAAGCAAGACAGTCCCTGCTCTAAAGGAGCTCACATTCTGACTGGGGAGACAATTCATTACGGTTTCAGCTACAAGTCAGATGGAAAGATTCTATGGTCCTTAGAGTGTTGCAACAAAGCTAATGATAATATTCTTTGTCATGTTTAATATCATTTTTAATTTTCTGTTGCTTGCATAATAAATAAGGCTTTCAATGAAGCCACAGTGGTACAAAGAGCCTCGAACCAGGAGACAGAATACCTGCATTCTATTTTCCTGCTCTGCCTTCAGTTTCCTGTCTGTGAAATGCAAATGGATATGGCAATCATATCTGATCTGACAGCACAAAGGACTTTGGTAATGAGAACTCTGTTTTTCTGGCTCTTCAGTAACTTTCAGCTACTGAAGTCAGAGGCTCCAAGACCTGAGGAAGCAAAGCCTAGGTTGAATCTCTACAGTTGTGGAAGTTGGGCTGGAAGCAGGACTGAGGGTCTGAGGAGGTGCAGCCACTCCTGGGGTTATTTGGCTTACCTACCTGCTTAATGGTGACAGTTGGTCGGTCAGCAGTCAGTGACAAGTGGCCACAAAAGTGGACTCCTCCTCCACAGTGACTGATTCCCTCAATAACGGCTGTAAAGCCCAGGCTAGAAGCAAACTAGTTGTTTTTGCTCATCCTTCACTTTGAAAGACCAATGACATGGCTAATGTCTTAATTTGCACATGAATTGTACTTAAGTGAAGCAGTTGTATAAAGTCATCAGCTTCACTCTTTCTTCCCGAGTCATCAAAGTCCAGGGTAGGACAAAAGTCAAGACAACTGGCAATGGCTTGGGATGCAGTGGATGATGTCTTCAATGTCTGCCCAAGCTCTAAGTGCTCCATAGCATTTACTTCAGTCACCACAGGACACATGCATATATGTGCATAAGTTTGTATATACATATACATACATACCCACACATATCTCAACAGAAGTCTCTTCTCATATATATATATATATATATATATATATATATATATATATATATATATATATATATGTATATATGTATATATATATATATGTATGTATATATGTATATATATATATATGTGTATATGTATATATATGTATGTATATATGTATATACATGGGTGTGCACATGTATATGTCTCTTCCCTCTACATATGCACATGTAATACACATATGCTAGGAGTGAGGAGGTTTTCCTTTAAACTATAGAAACTAAGGGGTAAGGAGGATAAACAGGAGGGTAGGAATCAGAGCAGAGAATGGAAGATACAGTAAAGAGGGCTGAAAAGTTGCTTTCCCAGAACTGTTAGAAACAGTCAACTGGTTGACCTGTTCAATGAGCTGTTCTTGATTGGCTGGATAGAGAATTTAATTTATTAGCTAAGAGCACAGTACCTGAGGAGGTTCATTCATATCTCAGGGTTAAGTCCCACACTAGTGTCCACCTGAGCATTAACTCTGCTTAGTAGGAAAGTCAGCCTCTAACAGCAGTGCCACAGTCAGTTACTGAGCACCGTAGGTGAAACACAACCATACTTTGTTTATGAGCAAAATATACTTTCATGAAGATACTTTAAAAGACCTGTTATTTCATTGATGTTTATATTACCTCAAAACACAGTGTCCCAAATCCCATTATCTGATGACTAACTTTTTAACAATGAATCCATCTTATACTTATGAAGACTGATTTTTGGAAAACAGACACAAAGGATCTCACCAGGATAACAGTTAAAAACTTTTCATATTAGTAAGACCTGTCAGAGCTTGTGTTCCACTGACAGAGCCTTAAAAGAACCCTGGATAATCACAATGCCAATGATTCTATGTTCTGATCATTTACTTATCACACTTAATAAAATATCTCCAGAGTTATAAGATTTATAAGTTATAAATGCAGTATTTGTTTCAACCAACTTGTTGAGCAAATCTAATATAAAATAGGAGTATAATTAAATCTCAGTGGATGAAACAGAATGACACCAAAAAATTACTTATGAGTACTTTTTTGAATAGGCAAAAATAAGACAAGGTGAATAAACTTTCATATTAGCTAAATGCAAAAATTAGAATTAACCTTAAAAAATGAAATGTCATTATATATAGTGACTACACACTATATACTTTCATTTATTTAATTTTTGAAGTTTAAAGCACCTTTTAATTCACTCATAAAGAAGTATTTTATATTGATCTTTTAACTTGACAGAGGCAATCTTTTTAACCTCATTCATCTTTTTTCAAACTGGTCTAAGTCTCGATTTCTTAAGGCCACTTGTACAATGACTCGTTCTTTTAAATAATAACAAATCTTTCCAATGATTTAAGAGACCTCCCTTCCCATGAGTTAGGTCATTTATCTACTTGATTAAATTTACTAATATGACTCACTGAATACCATAAATAAAGCACCTTCTAGTCCTAATGAGCTTAGTGAAGTTGATATTTAAATAGTATCCTGATATTCTGAATTCTTACCAGTTTAGAAAATACATTTATAGCACTAGTGATTACATGCTACTAGATGAACCATGCTTACTTACATAGCATTATATCATCATCCCAGATGATAACAAATAGAAATATCTTTCCTTTATCACAATCTTTACAGGAATATTTTATTGTGATATTCATTTTTCACATACTTTAATATCTCATAAATCATTCAAAGAAACAACACAAAAATAACCATACTTTATATTTTTCCACATGAAAGGCACTAGACATGCTGTTGCAATCATAGTACAAGTTTTATTTTAACTTACAATACCAACAACAACAAAAAAACTAATAAGAAACAAAATAATTTTCTGCCAGGCTGATGGTCAGTAGTTTGTTCCAAACCAACTGTTTACTTTTTCTATTCTTAGGTAAAGAGCCAGGCTAACAACATAGTATTCTTCTGTCTCTTCCATCCAGACCAGCTCCAAATTCACTTTTCCTACTGAGTCTATGTAGGTTACATAAAAGTGATGTCCTCTGTAATTAAAAAAGTCAGAAGGTCTGGTAGCAGGTCTCATGCAAACTGGGGAACTGAAACACCAAAATGGTTTCTCTGTTTCATCCAAAAGGGTTACATCCATCATATAACAGTTCTATAAAATAAAGACAAAGAAAACTCTAACATACATTTAGTACTTAATCATATAGTGTTTGCCCCAGACTTCTGAAAGTTAACTGAGAAAATTCTGCATTAGAAGCTTCCAAATCAAAATCTAAAGCAGTCATTTTCAAGATATCCCAAATTTTCAGAAATATTTTGCTTTCAACTTTGCTATACTGGAGGTTTGTATTTAGTAAGAATGAGAGACATCTATGGGAGACAAGCAATTTGGTTTCTAATGGTTCTGCCACTGAGTAACTCTAGACATGTCACTTTCCCTCCCAAGAACTCAATTTCCACTTCAATAAAATGAAGGGGCTGAATTAGATTCTTTTTAAGGTCCCTTTAATCCCTAAAATTCTGATCCTTTTTGTATTCTAGCTCTAAGATTATTTGATCCAATGACTCAATATAATATCAAATTTAACGAATACTAACTATTATGCTAGGAGGACTTAGAGTCTTGTAGAAAACCCATCTACAGATACGGAATCTGGCTCACTCATCATGAATGTCCAGGAGAGATAATTCTTTTAGGCATGCTTTGGAAGGTATGTACTGTTGCATCTAACAGATCCAGAATGAAAGAGTCCATCTTATTTTTATTAGATCTTTGACAAAGTAGGGAGATCTCAGAGAAAGTAGAGTGGATTATCCTCTGGTCATTTTAAGGCATTTTAAAATTATATCTTCCCTCCCACCCCCAAATATATCCTTAAACTGAATAGGGACAGCATAATAAATTTATTTAATAGTATAGTAGTATCTTCTGCCATGCTCCAGCACTACATTTTCTCAACCTAATTTTCAGTAGTTCTTACTCTCCCTATTCTGCCGCCATTCCTCTCATCCTCATATACAAACAACTGAGCGACAGAGGCGGAAAATACAAATTCTGCATACTGATTTCCAGTGGATAGGGAACCATGCTGGTAGCATCCTTTTGTTTTATCTTTGTTATATCTTTTGTTTTGAGGGATAAGTGCCCAACTTTAAAGGTTAAATCAGTACAATCAATACTAATACCTATAAAATCTCATGCAGTCTACAAATATTTGAGTGTCTATCATGTGCAAGGCACCATAGGAGACAGAAGTTTTAACAGTACCAAATAAGGTCTAGGTTTTTTAAACTCTGGCCCAAAATCAATCTCCCTTAGCTATAAGACTTTAACATTAATGAAGCTAAGTAGCAGCCGAAACTAAATGTGCAAACGGTATTAAAATCAATTTTCTGTACAAATAGTCCCACTTACCATGCAATATGTCAGATTTAAAGGTCTATCTTTGGGCAAGCTATGGCACTTAGATGTGGAAAGTCGAATTCTCAAAGCAGAAATTCCACTTTTACAGATATCATTTACTGTCTATACATTCGATGTAGCATCACCTCATTAATTAGAGTAGCAGTCCTTAATTTAAATATAGCCTATTAAAGGGTTTTAAGCGAGGCAAATCTTATATTATCCTACAAGCCACATATTTCTAGATTTTAATTGCAAATAAACTGTTAATTTAACTATAAATATTTTAAAAACTAAAGCTAATGCCAAGTCCCATGCATCTATTTAGAAACATTAATATTTCCATCTGTGTGTGGAACATATTTCTCCATATAAAATAGAAACAAAAAGGTATAAATACAGGAGAGGGATTGCCAAATTTGACAGTACTGAAGGGACCAACGAATATGGAACAACAGAACAGATAAAGTATCACATTCTAAACTGGATTGAAGGCTATGGTTGAATTACCTTTTACAGTAACTACCTGGCCCTCCATTTTCTGAAATAACCAACAATAGGTACTTAGTGAAATGTATGCTGAATTGACTTAAATATAGCAACTGCTTTTTATAAACAAACAATATATTGTCATTGTTACTCGAATCAACAGAAGCATTTCTAAAGGATGCTTAGAAATGACTTCATCCTTTATACTGATCTATACAGATCAGGTACTACTGATAGCCCACCAGATATAATCTGCCATGTAAAATGTTGATCTCAGGAAATCTCAGGAAAAAAGATTTTCAGTTTTAATCCCAGTGCAATAAAAGAGACACTGGATTGCAGTCAGGGACAGGTATAGATTCCAGCTCTGTTATATACTGATGTAGTTTCAAAAATGTGCTATTATATACATTTTGTTGTATTTTTATTTTGTTAAGTATTTCCCAAATACATTTTAACCTGGTTCACATGGCATCCAGGAGCACAATGGGCTGCATGTAGCTGGGGCCGTAATTCTGACACCTCTGCTCCCAAGGACAGAGCTAGGAAAACGGGTGAAATGTTTTGAAGAAACAGTTTTAGGATGAATGTATTGAAAATGTCCAAATAATCAGAGCTATCCAAAAGTGAAATAAATCGCCTTTGGAAATAACAAGCTCTCACTCCCTGGAGGTCTTAAAGTGGAGGTTACACTACCACTTACTGAGGATATTGTAGAGGGGTTCTTGGTCCAGTACGGTTTGGACTCAGTGGCCCCTGAGGTCCCTTCCAACTCTAAGATTCTGTAAATAGCAGGAGAATCCTTCAGTATCCATAATAAAGACAGAGAGGGAAACAAGAGAAACCCAGGAAAATAAGCCTCACTTACAGCTAATAAAATCTCCACTTTTTCCTTTTATCTTTTCCCTCTCTTTCACTTCAAGTCTCTGCCAAACAAAGCCTTTTTTTCACTGAACTGGACTAAGTAAAGGAATTATCAATGGGCCCAAATTCCCAAAATGTATTTATAACCTTAAAAAGAAGCCTATTAACTCAAACAGATTAATAGCATTTTAAATGAGTTTCCCCTGTGGAAGAGAAAGCTCTGATCCGAAGGTCTCTCGTGGTCTTTTGCTTTCTTTTCCAGCTGCTACCCTTCCCAGACTAGGGAAAGCAGGGAGTAAAAAACATAGCATGGAATCACTACTGCTTAGTAGCCTAAAGCTACACACTACGTACAAGCTCATCCTTATCTTTCAAACACCTTTGTACACCTCAATTTCAGTTACCAAGTTAAAGATGGGGGTTGAGAATATGGGCAAACACAAGGAACGATAAATGGAAACTCTAGAACTACAATGGGGAGAGCAGTATAATATTTTAAAACCTTCCTAGCCCTTTCGAAAGGTGAGAGGCTTCAGTAAAAAAGAGTACTGGATTTGGAGTCAGAAGACTTGAGTTCAAATCCCAGCCCTGCTAGCTGAGGATACCTTGTAACCCTGAAGTAAATTTCTTCACCTCTCTGGGCCTTAGTTTTCTCATCTGTAAATGATGACCTCTGGGGTCCCTCTGGTTCTAAATGTATCATTATCCATAGGATTTTGTAATACTGGAGAGAACAGAAAAGTAGAGACTTGGCAAAGATGTACTTTCTTGTTAAACAATGACCCAATTACCTGGAAGAGACTGCCGAAGATTAAAAAACAATCAATTACCTGTATACAACCAGCAAAAACATCTGTTTTCCAACAGAGGCCAACTTTTCCAATTAGAGGTAAATGCTGTGCATTGTTTTTAAAACTTATAACGATGAGCTTCATATATCCATTTTTAATGAAATCTGAAAAGATTTTTAAAATAATTACTGAATATTAACATAGTACATCAAGAATTAGTCATTACTTTGCTTTCAAATTCTCTTTGCCTAGTTCTTTTCTCTTATATGTTATTTTCATATCGGAAGTACCTTATGTGGTTATGTCTAAATTACCTAAGCTAGGAACAACATTAGTAAAGCTAAGACAAAATGGAGGAAAAGGTGACAGAAGCCTTGTCTGGGTCAACTTAGGGCAGGGGTATGATAGTAAATGTTTAACAAGCAGCTCTCCAAGAAAAAAAAATTGGCACATGAGTCAATGAAATTTAATCTGTATTATTAACATTTTCTCCACCACTTTCTTAAGTCCAGACATTCAACAAAACAAAAAATCAAGCCCTGATCTATAGCAATTGCCATTTTCCAAAATGTAAATAGATGCTTAATAACTAACTCCCTCAAACTATTATGAGCTGGTATATCATTGTCTGTGGGATCCTCAGAGTAAGAGTTCAGAGACCTGGAAAAGTGGTTTCTAGGAGAGTCAAGGGGATATCACTAATCTTACTCATCACTAGTCAGCAACTACGGGACTCCAAAGAGAATACAATCTTCTGATTTGACAAAAATATGGAAACAGCTTCACAGGTACAAAATCAAGGGAAGAAAGTAACAACAGATAAAGTCACCTTGGGACTGAAGGATCTGCTAAGAAAGTTCGGAGGAAAGGGATCCCAGAGATTTTGGAGAAAAGAAACCAAAGAAGGGTTTTATAAAGCAGCAGTAAGAGAAATGGCCACTAGGTAATAAAAAACAGCATCATCAGAACTAGGTGATCAAAGAAAGAAAAAAGGTCCTTACACAAGTAAACTATGAAGCTATAACCAAGAGCTAGAAGTGATCCTGTAAAATTCAACATAAGTATAGCTTTACACTAGATCAGTATACAAGACATTTCAAAGAAAAGCACAGATAAGATATAAGAATTTCCAATAGTACTTCCTATTTTTGGTCCCCAGAAATGATCTTTCCCTCATCTGTACCCACATAACAACTAAGCTCTCTTTTGTGGTACTCACCACATACTAATTTATATTTGTGTGTGTGTGTATAACTTCTGATCTATGACTTCAATGATGGGATACCACCTCCAGCAGCAAGGGAGACAAGGAGGAAGGGAAGGAAGAAAGGGCTTATTAAGCACTTACTATGTGCCAAGCATTGTGCTAAGCATTTTACAAATACGTAATTCTCACAACAATCTGAGAAATCAGTGCTATTGTCTCTATTTTACATGTGAGGAAACTGAGGCAGACAGCAGTTAAGTGATTTGGCTAGGGTCACAAAGCTAGCCTGAGGCTATACATGAACTCCACTCTTCCTGACACCAAGCCTACTGCTCTATCCACTGTGCAACTTAGCTGCCTCAAGGTGAAGGGCACAATCCATAATCAGCCTTCTCAGTGCCATCGTCAACATCTTGCCTGTAAGTCTTCCAAAAATGATATACTCAAGGATCTGAAAAGTTTCCTTTAGATCAGGTTTTCTTAATTTGGCAGTCTGTGAATCTGTGTTTTATATAAACTATTTTGATAACCATATTTTGATATATTTGATTTCTTTTGTAGTCCATAAATTTCACTTTATGGGCTTAAAAAAATAAAGAGAAGGGATCCATAGGCTTCAACGGACTCCCAAAAGGGGCCATGACAAAAGGTTGAGAGTCCCTGACCTAGTCCAACTCACCTAAAGACTAGGTGTTTTAACATTTTGTGGGTACCAGTATAGCACTCTAGCTTTTTATCTCATCCTTTTCTCTCATAACATAACTGGTCAATCTTCTTTATTTTGATTGGTTTGGTTATTTTGGTATAATTTCTCAATAATTTTTTTAATATGGTGCTCTTTATTCAAGTCACTGTTTGGAATTAAAACTGCACTTACTTGTACCCATGATGCAAGCTCTCCACTGGCCTTTGTGTAACCTGAAATTCTGATACTTCAGAGATTTGTAATGTTCATGTTCTGTGATTTACAATCACATGATATCGTCATGAAGACAGTGATGTTAAAAAGATGGTTTGTTTGTTGGAGACAGCTTTGTATTATTGAAAGTGCTACATAATTTCCTAAATTCAATCCATCCCCATTTTTCTGTTCAATTCTGGGTCTGGTTTATTATCCATCTGCAATGCTTATCCAAGATGCACATAAAGATGGACTAACTCAACAATATACTCACCCAAATGCATCACATAATCTGATCAAAAGAGATTCTTCTACTTCATGTTTCATTTATTATGATAGGCACCTTTCTTTTAGGGTTTTGTTTGGTGTGACTCTCACTGACGAGGCTCCACTGTCTTGGGACTTGATATAATCAGCACAATGTTATCTATAAACAGGAGCACCTAGAATATTCATAGCCAATAAGTAACCTCTCTTCTATCTGGACTCTGTGAAGGACATTCTCCATGACAGCAGTGAACACTTTTGGCAAGCACATGTCTCCATTATATTCTCTGTGGGATACTAATAATCAGAAGGTCACTGAAAAAAAGTCCTCTCTGTGGCTGCATCAATCAAAGGATCTTACATCTTTACATATTCATACAAGATCTTATTAGAATAAGAACCTTTAACAGTATTTTTTTTCTACCAAGTCAATGCTATTTTGTAATCAATCAATACAATCTACATTCTCAACAGATTTATATTCTCTACAGTCTGTTTTGTGGCTATAAAGATGTGGTCTGTTATTGAATATCATCTGGGAAGCCTACCTGGTTTGCTTCTCCTGTTTTCCATCAAGAATACTAAGAAATCAAAGCTCTCATACAATAGAGAAATACAGGTCAATAGATTTCAATGTCCTCTTTTTTGGTAAAATCATCTCCAATTTTTTAAAAACTAGTGTTCAATATCTTCCTCTCCACCAGCTATACTGTCATGATTAGTGATTGCATTGATCAAAATTCTTAATTATTTCAACGGTGTTTTCCCTTAAATTATTGTCGTCATGAAAATTGTCCACCTCAGTAAACCATCTTGGCAGACAGGCTAAACCAGGTTGAGGCTGACCAGGTTGATCTCAAAGCTGTCAGTAAAGGGGTGTCTACCTTAAGCTTGTGAAGACTTTCTAAAAAGAATGAGTGAATGAGAACAGTTTCTTCAAACAGCCATGAAGGCAGCTGAAGCAGGCGCTGTGGAACACTTAGAGCTTGGTCAAACACTAAAAATACCAAGATCATCCACTACATCCTGGGCCGTCATCAGTCATCTTGACTTTTGCCCTGCCATTGGACTTCAATGACTATGGAAGAGAGAGTGAGACTGATGACTTTGTACAACTCTGTCTCACTTAAATCCAACTCACTCATGAGTCAAGACATCACTTCATGATGTCACTGGTCCCACTCAAAAATGAGGGACAAACAACAACATAAACACTTCTGGAATGATTTGATCAATGTCAATTCCATTAGAATTTCAGTCTCTTGAAGTTAAGGACTGTTTTTCTTTCTATCTCCAGTGCTTGCTACAGTGTTTAGAGCAGGACTGCACAACCTGTGGCCTGAGAGATGCTTAAGGCCCATGGGCACATGAAAGAATTTCGGGTGGCCCGTAAAAAATGTTTTCCTCTACATTTTTCTCAGACCGCCAAAAATCCTTTGGCATGCCACAAATGGCCTATGGGCTGCAGGTTATGCAGGCCTGGTTTAGAGCCTAAATATTAGTTGATGAATTTCATGCCAGTTGTTCTGCATGCTCATTTTTCCCTCCACAGCTTTTCACCCTTTCATGAAGTGATACTGCTTGTAATCTTCTGCCATAATCATCCAAACAATCTGCAAATTAATCTGTATTGTAATTGCTGATGCCCTTGACTGCATCAGATCTCTGCTTGGCAAGGAGATGAAGGACTTGCTAGATAAGGGCTTTCTGGGTGTGTTTGGGACTCCTAACTATGGAAACTGCTTTACTTGGGTTAAATTTTTCTGCAATTTGGTGACAGAGTCCATATCTATCTTTATCAATTGCCAATTTTTAGAGTGAACATTTACCGAGATAGGTCACTTAAGAGCTGTTAGAACTACATCCAATGCTTTATCTCTTCTAAAAGACACAAACTCTTGTCAGCATGGTCCTCTTCATCTGCATATACTTCACCATTAGATTGTGAGCTCCTAAAAGCAGGGATTGTCTTTTGCCTCTCTTTGCGTCCCCAGTGCTTAACACAGCGCCTCACATACAGTAGGCATTAAATAAATACTTATTATCTGACAGTACCTACCACCTTGTCTTGCACATAATCACAGTTCAACAAATATAAGTTATAAATTAATAAATGAATAAGTAAAACCTTAGTAATAGGTGAGTAGCACATTTCATTAGAACATGTACCCAGGGAATTTTTTAAAAGTGAACACTGAATCATAAAAATCATTTTTATTCAAAAGAAACTAAAACATTTTAAAATTATGTTAACTAAACTTTTACTAAAAATATTCAAATTGCATAAAGCATTTTTTAATTAAATCCTTGTCCTTACCCTAAAATACAGTACAATGTTTTCAGCTTTGTTTTCTGAATAAAAAAGTATATTTACAACTGTATCCTCATCCTCCAGCCTCATAATTTGCAGTTAAGTTTAAGGATTGGTATAACCATAGGCATATCCTTCTAAATTTTTCCTTTTCTAGTCTGTACTAATCAGAACTCTCTAGGAATAAGCCACAGAAAACACAGTGGCTAAGTGAGTAAAAGGGGGGAAATTTTATTTTTTTTCCTTGACCTGGTTGTAGTTGGCTACATTCTCTGAGCAGGAGTAGGGTATTCCTGGAAGAAATAAGGAGGAGGACAGAGAGCCTATCTGACTCTTAATAAGAACTAGGTTCCAATAAGCTTAAGTACCATAAAGAGCAGATAAGGTAACACTTTGGAGATAATCTAAAATAGGTCTCTGAGGAACCCTGGACTGTAAGGCCACCAAGTCACTAAATGGCACCTCCCCCTGCCTTCTT